TTTCAAGTTCTGGTAAGTATAATACTATTTGAAATCTTTCTTTTGAAAATAATCTATATTTGGCTAGTTGTGTTTTATTTTCCATTTTCTGTCTGGATTACATATTTGTGTTCTATCATTAAACATTAGTAAAAGCATGAATATTGTGAATGATTATAGTCTTTTACTCAAATATGTCAGCAACCTTCCTGATACACTGATACTGAAGTGGGAAAGAAGAACTTCAGTATCAGGAAATCAAGTAAATTTGGTTTATTGAAATTTGAGTAAAGTTAATTTTTTCTGATTATAAAAGCACTATATACTCAGTATAAAAATCTGTACAATACATTAAAGTAGAAGGAAGCTGCTTGTAATTTAACAATGCTGTGACTACCACAATTAATAATTGGTGTATTTCCTTCCTGAGTCCCCACACCCCAGCCCCATCCCATACAGTTATGATAATCTGTAAAATGAACTAATTTTTCTTGTGTCAAATTTTTGAATTTCCATAAGTAACACTTTGAATTTATCAATTTTCCTTCATTCCTTGATTTCTTACTTGTTGTTGTTATTGTTATTAGTTGCTGTCCAGTCGATTCTGACTCATGTGTTACAGAGCAGAACGTCTCCATAGGATTTTCAAGACTATAATCTTAGTGGAAGTAGGCTTTTTCTTCTGTGGTACTGCTGAGTGGGTTTGAACCACCAACCTTTAGCTTAGCTAGTCAAGTGCAAACCATTTGTGCCACCTACTACATGATAGAAAATTAAATTTAAAACTCAGTGAGTGAAATGATGCATGCATCTTGTAGATCTGTCATCTGCATTGTCAAGTGAGTGGTGGAGACAGCGGTAGAGGCAACTCTTCAGCTCTGAGCACCACAGACTTAAGTGCACTGTTGATTAAGACTAATGATGGCAGAGATAATTCTAACCATGTTTGAACCATTAGATTATGATGAACCAAAGGGTGTTGAAAAATCTGCTTAACCTTAAAAAAAAAAAAAAAAAGGGATTCATGATAGCTCCATGGTCTAACTTCAGGCAACTAAGAGACTCTGCAGAGAATGGGGGAAGATATTAGTAGCAAGCTATCAATCATTAGACTCAGATTTTAGTATAAATTGATTCTGGAAGCAAAGGGCTTACCACCTCTAGGGAAGAAAGTGGAAAAGTCTTAAGATTCTATTGTTTCCTCTTGTCACCTCTTTCTACCTCCACTTTCCTGTAGCCTAAACTGCTGGCAGAAGAATAAACCTATTGTTTTGTTTGTTCGTTCCCTGGGTAGCCCCTAAGTACATTATTGCCTTATTCCAATTTCAGAGGGCATAGAGTAAGCCTTATAGTTTAAAATGTAAAAAAAAAAAAAAATGTTGAATTTCCATCCAGATTCTTTTTATTTTTGAAAGCTGATTAAGAAAGGTGCACAACTGAGACAGGTACTAAAAGTTGCAGAAGGAGGTGGCTCTGTTTTACAGAAGAGGACGCTCTGATGGCAAGATTTATGGACCACATTGCTGGCCTCTCTCGTGTGCACCAGCTGGATACCGTACTAGCTCTGCCTTCTTCTTGGAGGGCATCTCAACCTCCCTTTGCCTCTAGCATGTCAGCTTTACACAGGTCTTCCTTTGGAAAGTTTTGAAAGCACCATCTCTTCCCACTCCCGCCCTCTGCTTGATATTCTCATGGCACCCTGAACTTTTCCTCAACTGTGCTTTGAAGAACTCTGCTCTTCCCATGGACTCTGAAGGAGATGCACATAATTACGTCAGGATGAAGCCTGACCCACCTCCTTTGGGAGGAATGTGGCTTGCACACTCTTCCTTAGTGATGACACTGTGCTCTGTATGAACAGAGATCCTTTTATCCAATGGTAATACCGACTCTTACCATGGGCTCTTAAACCTCACGTGCACGTGTACAGAATTGCAACATTCTCCCTAAAACCTCCCCCAGTGACTTCTGGGCACTCCCAGAGCTCCCACGTGCCATGAGCATCAGTGAACTTGTGTTTTTGCTACAGCCTCCTCATCAAGGCACCTGAAAACCACCCGGCCAGGTGCTTTCTCTGAAAATGCTCCTCCACTGCTAGGATGTTGCCTTCAGCTTCTGCCCTTCATGTGTCTGCCTCAAAACCAGACCTCTGAGCTGGGCAGCAGTGGGATAGGGACAGTGGAGGCCACTCCTTCCCTCCAATTATCCTTATCTTCCAAAGTGTCTGTCCTGAAGCTCACACAGAATCTCCATTCTCTTATTTCAGTCCTTGCCCCCTAAAAAAAAATCTCTTAGCGTATCAGCTCACGCAAATATGTTCCCAAAGTGGTCATCAGGTCATAAGCTCTCCAAATAGTGAAATCCAGGCACAAAACTAAGGACTTTAAAAGCCTCATGATGCTCTTAGATGTAGGTAAATATCATTTTGCAATATTAGGTGAAAAATGTGTTTTAAATATCATTCATATAAAACATTTTCAAGTATATATGTAAGTATACTAAGCTCTTTCAAGAGAGCAGGCACATATATGTTCCTGCTACATTTTCCACCCCTGGAGGTTTATTGGCAGGCATGTGAGCCATTTTAGTACATTCTGGCGTCGAGGCAGATACTGGTGAAAACTGCCTAAAAACAAGGGAAGTTGGTCTGTGCCACACTTGGGTGTTGAGAGCCATTTGTATGAGGGGATGCTTCCTGGATGAGTGATTGTGTGAAACTTTTATGTCTTTTGGCTTCTGTACAGCAAGATAAGGCTTGCAAGTATGTTTACTATTTCCTTGGTGTTATTGGGAAGGTATGGTTACCGGCATTCGGAAATATTCAAGTGAGTTATTTTTGGGATGAAACCAGATTGTGATGCACTTTCTGGGCCATGGGGCCAATATGTACCATGTGTGTGATGTGTTTCATGGAACATGGGACCAATATAGCCCACTTGCATCGGTCAACTGCCTGATGACATCTTTTATAAAGTGCTCTCCTCCCTGAAAACAGTTTGTGATGCACATCCTGGGCCATGGGACCGATATGTACCACATTTGTGATGTACTTTGTGGAAATTGGGACTGATATGGTCGGCTTGCAATTGGTACCCCCTTTTTTCAAATAATAAAAAACTACTAACAAACAATGATATAGCATCTCTTCCATTAGTGAAAGAACATGGCATCACCAAAATAATAATAATAATTCATCCATTAATGGGCTAGAAAGTAAATGGAAGCAAAGCACTCTGAAGTCTTTTAATTAAACACTGAAGGAACTCATCCTTCTTATAGCTGGAGAAGGCACTAAGATTAAGCAGTGTACCCAAGGTCAGAGCACCGGTTATCAGAGGAGGATGAGAAGAGGCTGCAGTTTTGCTGATTCCATTGAAAAGCTGGATTCCTCAACATGCCCAGGCCTGATACAGCTGCCTTTGTTGTCTTAAGTACATAATTATTTTAAACTGCTGACAGAGGACGGAGGGGAAACCTGTCTAATTTCTGGGCTGATCTTTGATACATTTTCCTAAGTTACATGTAAGTAAGATTTGCAAACCACACTGGAGATATATGGAAGATCTTAGATAACAGCTGGCAAACATTTAAGAAAGTGATTTGGGTCAGATTTATAGCTCATTTATACTGACAAACATGTCTTTTTCATTCCTATAATACTGATTACATTTATTTATTTTGTTTAATTTGTCTTCAAATTGTACCCTTGTTTCAAAGCAGCTGGGCACTCTTCCTTTGTCATAAGACACCAATAATTAAATTTGTTAAAAACAACAGAAAATAGCCACACAATGCTACAAATAAAAAACAAACCCAGAACCAGAACAGCCCTTCCAAAACAGTTCACTCTTCATTCACAGGCTCTGACTTCATTGGGAAATCGAAGAAAACCTTAGTGATTTACTGAAAATGTCTCCTCTTGAATTCCCTCCTAGAACGACTAGAGGGAGCAGTACTCAGATTCCACCATTTTTAGCAGCCCGTATCAATGCTGTCATTCATTAAAAATAATACAGTTTAAGGCAGTGTTTCCCAAAGTATGGTAAGCAGTATGTCGGATGCGCCTGCATTTTCTACAAGTTTGCAAGGGAAGCATTTTACACTATTTTAATATGGCCTTTTTTCCTCTGAGGCTCTATGTGATACATTTTTCCAAGAATTTAATGTTAAAATTATTTTCCTCCATATGAACTTGTTTGGTTCCATTTAAGAGACAATTAGAACTTTTAAACTTTTTCTGTTTCACCCCTTTTCCTCGACTGCCGAGATATGAAGAACTAAACTCATCATTGCAAAACTCTCTTAATTTTCTCACTGGATGGTTGGTGCTTTGTGCTTCTTTTGTTATTTTTAAATTGTGCAATAATTCCTGTTAATTTTTAAAAGTTCACAAAGTATTAAAAAAAAAAAGGAAACCCATTGCCGTCCAGTCTATTCCAACTCAGAGTGACTCTATAGGACAGAGTAGAACCATAGGGTTTCTGAGGCTGAAATTTTTATGGAAGCAGACCGCCACATCTTACCTCTGCTCACCAAGAATGGCAATTATAAAAAGCCACAAATCTTATCAGTAGCCGTGCCATCCAGAGATAACTACCATTTAACCCTGGGATGTACATATTTCAGACTTTTCTCTATTGTATAATATGTATGCATATAAGTCAGCGATATAAAATATATTTTGTAAACTGCTTTTTTCATTTAACAATATGTCATGACCATCTTTCTATGCCAATAAATATAGATCTATAAAGCCGTATTTAATGGTTGTATAGCTTTCTATTGCATGGGTGTATAAATAATAATTTATTTACCTAAGACTTTATTAGTGCATTTAGTTTGTTTTCATTTTTAATTATAAATAACCTTATTTAACAGTTTCATTTATGTCTTTTTCTTGTAAGACTCTTGAAATTATCTTTCAAAAATGGCAGGTAATGTATGAAAAGAATCCTAGGAATATCCTGGATGTCAACTATAATTAGCATTCATTAGCATTTTCTGTACTCTCTACTGTGCTGTCATTCTGGAGATTAACAATTTTCTTGCCTCTCTAGGTCTCAATCAAGATGAGCGAAACCCCTTCCACCAGTTTCTCCATGATTCATCCGACTTCTCCTGAAGGTCGAGTTCCCTACGCCCGCCATTTGAGCGTTACTCATCCTGTTGCGGCCAAACGGATCAGCTTCTATAAGAGCGGAGACCCCCAATTTGGCGGGGTCAAGGTGGTGGTCAACCCCCGCTCCTTCAAGACATTTGATGCTTTGCTGGATAACTTGTCCAGGAAGGTTCCCCTGCCGTTCGGGGTGAGGAACATCAGCACCCCGCGGGGCATGCACAGCGTCACGCGCCTGGAGGAGCTGCAGGACGGCCAGTCGTACCTGTGCTCGAACGGGCGGAGGGTGCAGCCGGTGGACCTGAAGCGCGCGCGCCAGCGGCCGCGGCCCTGGCAGAGCAGCCGGGCAGTCAACGCTCAGGCGCAGCGCCGCGGCGCCGCCGCCGCCCAGTCGGTCCCGCCGCGCGGCCCGCGGAGGCTCGTGGTCTTCAGGAACGGCGACCCGCGCACAGGGCGTGTTGTGGTGGTGAGCCCGAGAGTCACCCAGAGCTTCGAGGCCTTTCTGCAGCACCTTACCGAGGTCATGCGGTGCCCGGTGGCGAAGCTGTACGCGACGGACGGAAGAAAGGTGAGTGTTCCCGAGGCTCCTCACGCCTGAGGGTCTGTCGCCCTTGTCAGGGTCCTTTCGGCCCAAAAGCACCCCCCCACCACCTCCGCCCTCGTTGGTGGGTATCTGTGGGCCCACTAAGTTTCACCTTTTGACGGGAGTATCTGTGGGCCCGAAGGTGTCGCCTTTGCAGGGGTAGGGGGTGAAGTCTGTTGGTCTCAAGGCCACTCCCTCCACCTGGCTCTCCTGATCCCCTGGGCTAAAACTCTGTTTTTCCTTTGGGGCGTCGGACATGAGGATCTCTTCTTCCACACTCTGTCTTCACTTTTGCGAAGTTATGATGTGTTAACACAGAATCCAGTCTCAAAGGCATTTTTTTTTTAAAAAGGATTGGCCAAGAGTGGCATTGGCCTAGAGGGAGAGAGGGTACACCTGGGGTCCTGCAGGGGGCCGGGGAGCCTCCCTTGCATCGAGAGAGAGTCTGTCCACAAGAGCGCACTTTCCTGTGCTACAGTGTGCACCAGGCGCTTTCCCACCTGGCTCTGGAGCTCATTGGCCGATGCTGAAGACTTTGGTGGGGAAGACAGAAGCAGTCCTGCACACCTTTGTTTTATTTTTTTAAAGATTTCTTTAGTTATTCCATAAAGAAGCCCTCGTGGTGCAGTGGTTAAGTGCTGGGCTACTAACCAAAAGGTCAGTGGTTCGAATCCACCAGTCACTCCACGGGAGAAGGATGTGGCAGTCTGCTTTGGTAAAGATTTACATCCTTGGAAACCCTGTGGGGCATTTCTATAGGGTCTCTATGAGTGGGAATCAACTTGGTGCGACGGGTTTTTTTTTTTTTTTTTTTTTAGTTATTCTGTAAGACCCGTCTGTCTACCCAGCTAGTGCTATGCTCAACAGAGATATTGCCCCTCTCCCACCCTTTCTGGTATGTTCAGCTATTTTGTATACACCATTGATCCCTAACAAATCCTTGGTGATTAACTCCTTCAAGCCCAGGAAGTTGTTGAATTGATTCAGTCACAATTATAAAATTATCACATGGAAAGAACAAAACTTTATGTTGCTCAAGTGAAGACCTGAAGTCTTTGCTTTCTTCTAGGTGCCCAGCCTCCAGGCAGTGATCCTGAGCTCTGGAGCCATTGTGGCAGCAGGAAGGGAGCCATTTAAACCAGGAAATTATGACATCCAAAAGTACTTGCTTCCTGCTAGGTTACCAGGGATTGCTCATCCTGTGTACCCCAAAGGAAATGCTAGGTCAGAAAGCAGAAAGAGTAAGTCACTTAAATATATAGCCCTTATTTTTAGCCCTGAGCTTTTTTTCTTTTTTTTTACCTCAACAAAAAAATCCATGCTTAAATGACCAATTGCCTTATTCCGGTAGACAAAATATGAGATTAAAAACATTCTAAAGTGAAACTGGTGATATTTTATCATTTATCACAGAGATTATCCTTTTTTAGATTTTTCTAAATCAATGACATATCTATTTAAATAGATGGGTTTTTTTTTTTTTTTTGCATATAAAAACAAACTCATTGCCCTGGAGGGGATTCCGACTCACAGCGACCCCACGTGTTACAGAGTACAACTGCTCCATAGGGTTTTCTTGGCTTTAAGGTTTATGGAAGCAGATCACCAGGCCTTTCTTTCACAGAACGGCTGAGTGGGTTCAAACTGCCAACCTTTAGGTTAGTAGTCGAGGGCAAATCATTTGTGCCACCCCGGGACCTGTTTGCATATAATACCTAGTTAAAAAATCAATATGCAAGTATTTCTTGTTTTAGAGAATTCTGTGGAATCCATGAAAGTGATGTCTCTGGTATATACAGAGTTTTCTCTAAATAGTAACATGCAGCATTCATGGCTGAGCTCAGCAGATTAGCTGAGTGACTGTATTTTCCCACATCTCTAAACTACAAATATGCTCTGCTTTCTGCAGTTATTCCAGTAAAGATCACAGGCCTTTAGCTCCACCTTTTATTTATTTTAAAAAGTTCATGCAGCCAATTCATGCTGGTTAACAATAATATAGATTGATAATTCCTTAGGAACTGCTGCTCACTGTGACTTTATCTTTTGGTTAGGGGAGGAGGAGGGTCTCTTGAGGCCCAGGCTTGTGGAGTAGACTTTATGTTACCTATGACAGCATAGGTAGTCTCATTATTCATTATGCTCAATATTTCCAGCAAAACTTTAGCTGTATGCTAAAGTACTGATTGCCATTTATACTTAATTTTAATTTTCATTCATTTAGAAATGGAATAATATTCCTTTTAAGCAGTGTTAATCCCACTACTTACTGCTAACGAGGGGGAAGCTCATCTATTTATTGTCATTTTATTATATCATGGATGTATTCAGTAGATAATTACTAGTGCATCTGTTAGTACTATTTCACTTTGGTCATTTTACTAAAATGATTTTATTTTTTTGTGTCTGGTATAGGTCACTGAGTATAATTTTTGATGGCTTTAAGGAATCTGAGGGCTTTGTTAAGTTTTACCTACAAAAAAAAGAGAGAGAGAGACTTTTTAATATGGTAAAAGTATATCCAAAATAAGCAGAAACATATTTCTAGGTTTATCCTCTGAAACATTAAAGGTATTTACCTGATGGCAAGCATGTGAAATATCTTACAAAAACTAGTAATAGAAATTTGGTTGACTTTAAGAAGCACGAGTGCCAGGGTTAGCTCTAGAGACACACATTAAAAGATAACCAGATATCTGGGCCTATGTCTAGCTCTGTTCTTTTCTGTGCTCTATGTTAAATCACATGCACTGTCTATACAAAGTAAATGCTAAATTAATAATTATTACTTCATTATTCCAGCCTTTTAAATAAATTCTCAAAATGTTTCAACATTCATAAAACTATAGATGTCTCCCTTTGATATGCACATATAGGAAAATGCATACTACCATAAATTGCTACTTGCCTTGTTTGGATAGGTGAGTAGCACTTGGCTAGACTGCAGTTTCAGTATTAGTAGACAAAAACCCACAAAACACTTTACTTTTGTTAGAATCCTTAGGAATTCCTACTTTATACATCCCTTATTAAAATTACTTTATTAAACTTAGTAAAATTAAATTTTTGTCATCTCCTTATTGAAGTAGAATTATAAGGTCTCATTTTAAGAGTAATGTGTAGAAATGTACCAGATATTACAGTAAGTTTTCTCAAATAATCAATGACTACATAGAGATGAGAAAGATATCAGTAAAACTTTACTATGAAATTTAGATAATATTGTGTTTTTATACTAATTGTTTCTTTTTTTTTTTTTCTTCTTTGCTGCGTTTTTCATTGGACATTTATAACTTCTCCATTCCACATTGTATTTTGATGTGGGGCATTTTTTACTCTTAAAATCGTTGAAGTGAGCACACATGTGCCTTCAAGCCCAAGGTCCCAGATTTATTCTGTTTCGTCTCAGAAAGTGCATAATAATAATAATGATTGCTACTCAGACTGTTCTTTTGCTCCTGAGAATTACTTGGCATTAGAAAAAAATGATTCTCAAAATTTACTGATAGAGCCTTCTGAAGATGATATTGAGAAATCAGTTATTTTTAATCACGATGGCACTATGACAGTTGAGATGAAAGTTCGATTCAAGATAAAAGAGGAGGAAACTATAAAATGGACAACTACTGTCAGTAGAGCTGAGCTTTCTAATAATGAAGAAAAGTGTGAGGTAAGCAGTTTTTCAGGAAGAACAGATGATAAGTCATCTGGTTTAAAGCTTGCAGCATGTTCATTGTCTGCAGAAATGTTACCTATGATGAAGAGCAATAATCAAGAGAGCAATTTGATAGAAGAGGTAAAAACTCAAATGACAGATCAAAGGGTTGAAACTTGTAGTTCTGCTAGTTGGGAGAATGCTGCTATGGACACAGATGTCATTCAGGTAACTCCGGATCAAGAAAAGCACCATTTTTATAGGCCCCCTACACCTGGACCAAGGAGAGTGAGACAAAAGAAATCTGTGATAGGGAGTGTGACCTTAGTATCTGAAACAGAAATTCAAGAGAAAATGATCAGACAGTTTTCCTATAATGAAGAAACAGAAGATGAGGAAAACAAATCTGAGTATCATATGTTCACATGTTCTAGCAGTAAAATGTCATCAGTATCTAACACACCAGTACGTGTTCAGATCAACAATGATGAGCAGATGGAGTCATCTTTAGAAAGAAAAAAGGAAAGCAGATTGCTAAAGTCAAGTGCTGTAAATACTGCTGTTATAGAAATTACAAGTCAGAAGATGTTAGAGATGACCCAGAATGGCCTGCCACAGACTATTTCAGAGAACTCAATTGTGGAGGAAGATACAGTTGATAGTGTAATATCAGACAACAAAACTAGTACCGAGACCTTCAGACCTTGTGATAACACCAATGATAAGTTTCGTCCAGTCTCAGCTGATACAACGCACTCTTCAGGTGACAACTCTGGAACTAAAAAAACTATTTCTGAAGCCTCAGCTTTGGTAGGATCCTCAACTGTCACCACAAGAATTGACAAACTAATTAATGAATTTGCTCAATGTGGTTTAACAAAATTTCCAGATAATGAAAAGCTGATTTCATTGTCTATTGCCAGCAAAAAGAAGACACAATCTCAGCAAGTGATAAATACAGGGCATCAGGATGGGGAGATTGTAACCAAAGGCTTCCCCAGTAAGAGCGAGAGAATGAACACAGGAGGTAAAATTTTGCAGGAAACCATATTGCAAGATTCACACAGTCCCGCTAAAGGAGAGGTACTTTGTGACGAAGGCCTCCATGCAAGTAATATGGTAATTGAATCAAATGATTTCTGTTCCAGAAGTAATCTGAATTCCATGATTTCCAAGAATTTCCATAGAAATAAATTAAATACTACTCAAAATCCTAAGGTTCAAGGACTTTTAGCCAAAGCAAAATCTAGACCGCTAAAGAAAGTGAGCTTAGGAGGATCTACAAAAAGGGCAGTTGGTCAGGGAGATAAAGTATTTCCCCAGAGTGAATTTAAATATTGCAAAAATACTTTTGAAAATCAAAGTTTATTTCATGTCTTTAACTTTCTCGAGAAAACACCCAGAACTTTTTGTGGACTCCAATCTCAGGCAGAAGTGGCATCTGGGTACTTGAGAGGAATTACAAAGAAGAGTTTAGTTTCAAAAGTTAATAACTCACACATAACTTTAAAAAACCATAAAAAACAAAAAGGAGAAAAGTTGAAATCAGGCACTATTGTAAGTAAACAATATGCTACAGCCAGAGGAAATACCTTAGCTTTTCTGAAAAAAGCTGATTTTCCTGAGGATATTGCCCATCTGTCAATTCAAAATTACATACAGAGATGGTTACAGAACATAAACGCATTTCCAGCTTTGCAACCTAGAAAATCAGCTCCAGTATGCAAAAGTGAAAGGAATATGGTAGGTTGTAACAATAATGATTTTCCAGGAAATAATCACAGAAGTTCAAGAAAAGGAAATTATTTTGTTATGGGAAGTAATAAGCATGTAACTGAAAATGCAAATTTGACAGGAGGTAATCTAGATAAAGAGGTAGGTAAGTCTCCTATCGCCAGAGGTAATGCTGAAGAACTTACCAAAGACCTCTATGAGAACCAAGTTGGATCTCTGAACGATGCTTACTTGGTTTCTCTGCATGAATATTGTCCTTTATCACAGTCAGCTATTGATGATCATAATAGTAAAAGTCAGGCATCTGCTGAAAAGGCAGGACAGGAGGTAAGCCATACTTGTCAAAAAATAAACCTAGCTACAAAAGAACGAAGTGTAGAGGCTGCTGTTCAAGTGGATCCTATTGGAGAGGACCCTCAAAAAGGCCTCATACCAGCTCTGTTGCTTCACCAACTGCAAGCTTCAGTTCCTAGTATTCAAAAGACTCAGAATGGAGTTGTTCAAATGGCAGGTTCACTTTCAGATGTTTCCTTCCCTTCTCCTGCAATATGTAATTCATCCACTAATCTCCTTCTAGCTTGGCTCCTGGTGCTAAACCTAAAGGGAATTATGAGTAGCTTCTGTCAAGGTGATGCACACAAGAGTACCAGCAGATCTTCAGAAATATTTGCATTGTTGGAGGTTCTAAAGCACGTCGCCATCACAGAGGATGCTGATGACTTGAAGACTGCTGTTGCCAATTTAATGGAGTCAACCACAGATTGCTTTGGACTCAATGAGAAAAAACAAGATATGGTTCCAGTAGGTCTTTCTGCAAATTGTTTCACACCCCAAAATCAGAAAGATCCTAAGTTCATTGAAAATGAAAAAACACAGGAAATCTCCTCTTTGGCCACTGTCCCTGAAGTCTTTGTTTCAGAAGTGACTTGTTTTCCATGTAATATGTGCACTGTGAGTAAGATTTGTCTTCCAGAAGAGACCTGTAACCCTAGTGATACTTTTTCTCCTAGTAATAGTTGTGCCATGGATCAGACCTTCTCCAGGAATAAGGCTTGTTTTCTAGGAGAGGTTTGTTCACTTACTGATGCTGTGTCTTGTGTTCAAAAGGAGAACCATATCCATGAGGCAACTTGTCCAATTGATGAGGCCTACATTCCCATGAAAGTCTGCAATGCCAATGACTTCTTAAATTCCAAAGCAAATGTATACACTGATAACTTGGAATTAATTGAAGAGTTAGAAAGAGTTGATAAAGTTCAAAAAGACCTGAATATTTTGGCAGATCCTGGGTATAAAAATAGCTTTAATACATTGGTGTCACATCAGAATATGAGTAATTTAAGCCATTGTGGCCTTTCCCTAAATGCAACAGAACCAGAATTTGGTAAGAAGCAGAAACATAGTTCTCTGGCTCAATTTCAGAGTTGTTCACTAAAGGATAAAAATCAGGATAAAAATGCATATACATCCTTTGATAAGGAAGAATCAAGGACTTCTGAAGAAGCAGGCTCAATAACTAACAGCATGACATCAAGTGAAAGAAACATTTCAGAATTGGAGTCTTTTGAAGAATTAGAAAACCAGGACACTAATATCTTTAATACAAAGGTAAATGCAGGAGAGCAAGCTGCTGAAGAATCAACCCAAAAAGAGTTAGAGGCTAGTAAAAATTTGGAACTTATAGAAGTCTCTAGTAGAAACATTATAGAAGAAGAAAGAAAGAGCAATGTAATATGTGAGACGATCAGTAGAAGTCTGGTAACACCGCCATCTTTAGTTCTTTGCTATGATTCTAAGCAGAACACTGGAAAGGAGATCAATGAAGGAAAAACTAAAATGAGAGTAAAAATGATGGTGAAAAGCATGGAAATTGGAAGTTATTCAGAGTCCCCTCTTGATTTTAAAAAAAGCTTAAAAAGTCCAGTAACTTCTGATTTGTCAGACTACAGACAAGACAGTGAGAGTGAACAGCCATATAAAACATCCAGTGATGTTTCCAATGACAATGGTGAAGAGATTGCCCAGGAAAAAGAATACAACACAGGGTTTGTTAAAAGGACAATAGCAAAACTTTATGGTAAAGCAGAGATTATTAAACCATCTCTTTTTTGGGGGTCTGCACACAGATCTCAGGTTTGTCCTCACAATTCTGTGGAATTTCAGTGTGCCAGGAAAGCAGGCCTTTATGATTCTGAAGGTCAGTCATTTGGTTCCTTCAAACAAATAACTAGTGGTTCACCTATGTTGCAGGAATTTCAGGAGGAAATACAAGATAAATGTGACTTTAATGATGTGGGGGCCAATTATAATGGGGGAGATACTGTAGAACATAGTACAAAACAAAATGATCATAACAGAATCCTCAGAGACATAGAGGAAGGAGTGCTGATTGACAGAGGCAAGTGGTTCCTGAAAGAAAACCATTTGCTAAGAGTGTCATCCCCTGAAAATCCTGGCATGTGTAGCAATGCAGACACCACATCAGTGGATACACTACTTGATAACAGTAGCGAGGTACCATATTCACCTTTTGGAAGTTTGGCCCCAGGCCCAACTATGGCTGAATTATCCTCTTCAGAACTAGAGGAACTTTCTAAACCCCTTGAACTGAAATGTTACTATTTTAATATGCCTCATGGTAGTGATTCTGAGCATTGTAATGAGGATTTGCTAGATGTTCAAAATAAAATCTGCTCCATGGAAAGAATACCAAATCACCACACAGAGGAGAAGGATAATCATCCTGGAAGAGTATGCACATCCGTCACTCATGCCTTTACATCTGCCGGTAACAAAGTCCATCCTGTATCTGATAATACCGTTAAAAACCAGCCATTGCCTGCCAATAATACGATTCATGGTACTCTTCAGGAAGGTGACTCTTTGGATAAACTCTATGCTGTTTGTGGTCAACATTGCCCAATACTAACTGTTACTATCCAACCTGTAAATGAGGGAGACCGAGGATTTGCATATCACAAAGATTCTGATATTGAGAATTTCTTGGGTTTCCATTTATGGAAGAAAATACACCCCTGTTTACTACAGTCAAACAAAAAAGTGGCCAAAGATATGAACAATAAAACAAGTAGGGAAAAAGTATTTATAGATAATGCCATTGATGAGGCATTTGATTGGCTTTATTTCAACAGCACATACGACTTGATGGATAAAAGAGGAAAATCAGAAAGAATTAACTTCTTGGACTTAGAGAGAAAAAATAATTTAAATAAATTTCAACCATATTTAAAGAAAAGATTTTGTGTGAATTTCCTGCACATATTGTTAGTTGTGAGTGAAGTGAATACATATACACAAGATCCCAGGAATCAGGCAAGTGAAATCTTTAAAGCAGTTGATGAAAATAACAACTTATTAAATAACAGATTCCAGAGCTCAAGAACAAACCTGAACCAAGTAGTAAGAGAAAATATGAACTATCCTTTCTCCTTTGGAATGCTTGGTCAAACCTACCTGTTAGGTATTTGCCAAGTTGAGACATCCTTAAATATCAGCAACAGAAATATATTAGAAATACTTGATGTTTTTGAGAATGAAAATATTTTAATTTGGGAAGATGAAAACCAATTAAATTTAACCAACCTTGAAAGCAGTGATGAACAAAAAGATTTGTAATTGAAGTATCAGTACAGTGCTCCATCAATACATTTTTTCTTTTTTTGGTAACACGATGAAGCACATGGAATAGGGTACAGAATTTCCGTCTGCTTCTTCAAAATGAGCCTACCCTAAAAAACTTGTCCTTGGATAATCCCATTTGACTTTTGTTAGTCATCAGTTCTTCATTTTCTCAGCAATTATGGATTAATTTTCTGTTATTTTGGAATTGTTTCTGTGTGTTTTTTTCTGAACTTATATAATTTTACGTGTCTATGTTTTTCTCCTAGGGCATTGTAAATGCCATAAAGAGACTTATGACTTTTTTTTCTTTCCTTTTATATATTGCTAGCTTAGTGTAAAATGCATATTGAATGTACTTATGAATAAATGGAATATAGTAGTGTTATGGATTGGATTGTGTTCCCCCCAAAGTAAGTGCTGTAAATCCTAACCTCTGTGCCTGTGGTTGGAACTCTGGTAGTGCAGTGATTATGAGCTATGGCTGCCAACCAAAAGATCAGTAGTTTGAATCCACCAGCTGTTCCTTGAAAACCCTATGGGGCAGTGCCACTCTGTCCCATAGGGTAGCTATTAGTTGGAATCGACTCGAAGGCAAGGGGTTTGGTTTTTTTGGTCTGCCTGTGTTATAATCCCATTTGGGAATGGGTTGTCTTTGTTTATGTTAATGAGGCAGGACAGTGTAGAGTATATCTTGACTTAATCTCTTTTGAGATATAAAGAGATTTAAAAAGCAATGGAGTGAGCAGAGAGAGTAAGCAGAGATAGCGGAAGATTGATGCCAAGCCACATGGAGATCTCCAAGGAACCAGGAAACAAGCTGAAGAGGACCTTCCCCTGGAGCTGACAATGAGAGAAAACCTAGAGCTACCGCCCTGAATTCGAACTTCTAGCATCCTAAACTGTGAGAGGAAAAGAAAAAAAAAAAAAAAATTTCTGTTTGTTAAAGCTCCCCCACCCCCAACGTGGTATTTCTGTTACAGCAGCACTAGATAACATAGCCTCAAAGTACTTAATTTACTAATTACTGATTTGATAAAAAAGTATGATTGTACGGTCTCTACAACAGCCTCATAGTTTCTTTTGCTAAATGTGTGGAGCCCAGTTTCCTGAGAACATCTCTCTAATGAACTTGCAAGCATTTTCATGGGACAAGGGGTCACCATTTTTTAGTGATTAGAAAAAGCTGGTCTACTACTAAGCTGCATTTCTAGCTATTTCCTAGAAATATGATCGTTTAGATGTTAGTAAAATATCAAGAAATCCAAAGAGATCAGAAAAAAATAGGGGAAAAATTTAAGGCAGGCCCTGTGGAGAAAAATTAAAGAATCTGGAATTATTTAACCTGGAAAAGAGAAAGGTGACTTTTAAAGTTTTCCTCAAATTGGAGAAAGAATTTCTCTGAAGAAGAACTTGATAGATTGTTTTTCCTATATTCACCTGCATTAATAAAACATTTAATTAGATATGAATAAAAGCATTTCCTAGAAGGATAAATAAACTTGATTAGACTATGAAAAATAAATCATCTGTTTTGAATACTTGTGATATTTTACATGAGACTTAACCAGGCAACCTTTTAAGGTTTTTCCACTTTATGATGGGTATAGGAACAAGTCTTATAAAACTTTGAAATCTATGTCTGGAACTGACTCAAAGTACAATGATTAATGTTCTTGGAGCCACACATTGAAGTGCCAAAATAATATAAGTTTGGCGTTTAGGAACTGAATGCAATTAGTTACATAAAGAGTAACTATGGTGTCAGTTCAGTGTGAGTCATATATCCATAAAAAAAAATGAATTGCTATTTACTTCACCAGCTGAAGACTGCCTCTATATAGAGTGTGCTTTTTATATATTAAGTGGTACACTGTTCTGGTTATAATGTTATGTAAGTTTCTATAATGAGCAGTGATAAACTGCAGTGAAACAAAAGGACATAAAAATTTTGGACAGATAATAGGAAGGAAAGAAGAATGAACATTAATTTTGTGCCTACTGCATACCCAGGACTATGGTAGACCTTAACATTTATTATATCTAATCCTTTCTCTTAAAGATGCTGAGTTTCGCTTTATTATTCTCTTTTTATAGATGAGAGAACTTAGGAGCAGGGAGGTAAAGTACTTTTGTAAGTGGTGCACATTAAGTATCAGTCAGGATTTGAACCCAGTCTTTCTTGTTTGGAAAGCAATGCTCTTTTTATGACATCTTTATCAATTCTTTTCACATAAGGAGGAAGGGGTAAATTTTTAATAAATTAACACTCTCATTCTCCAGAGCAGAGAGAGAAGGAAATTATTTTTCTCTCTAATTTGGAAAGGGTGATATTTAGTTTTATCTTTTTAACGAGAAAAGGAATTAGAGGATAAATCAATGAAGATATACCAAGGGGACTGGGGAAATCACAATACCCAGGAGTTTTTTAGAAAAATACGGCACGCATCATATGGTTTTTTGGAAATACTATTACATAAACATGTATTTTGGGAAAAAGGATCTGGAGAGACATTCATGAGTTAGTAACGCATGATAGTGTAAAATACTTTTGATTTAAAGTGAACGTGTTTGTATGGCATTGAATTCTGAGAGCTAAGATGACATCTATTCATGTTTATATCCTAGAGCTAGCACATTACTTGGGGCATGGTAAGCACCTAGTAAATGTATTTCGAATGGGTGAGAAGTGGTTTGAAAGCATTTATTCTTTCTTAACCTGTATTAACTTTGGATCTATACGTGTAGGATATGCAAAGATGCTGAGGGATAGAACTAAGTATATGATATTTTATGAAACAGTGTTATAATCATCTTTAAAAATGTCTGTGTAAATGATTCTTTTAAACATTTAAATACTTTTTCCCACAATGCTTGCATTAAGAAACAATAAATCTTGTAACAGTGAAATTTAGAACAGTAAATGAAGAGCAGAGCAGAAATAAATAAAATTGAAAACAGAAAAAAAATAGAATCAATAAAACCAGAAGTTGGTACTTTGTGAAGATCAATAAAATTGACAGACCTTTAGCTAGACTGACAAAGAGAAAAGTTGCAAATAACCAAAATAAAAAATGAAGGAGGGGACATTACAGCAGACTCATTAGAAATAAAGAGAATTATGACAGAATATTATGCACAAACTGTATGACAACAAACTGGATAACCTAGATAAAATTGAGAAATTATTAGAACCACATAACCTACCCAAACTGACTCAAGAGGAAGTAGAAGTCTCAATAGGCATGTAACAAGTGAAGAGATTGAATCAGTGATCAAAAACTTCCCAACAACAACAAAAGTATTGGACCAGATGTCTTCACTGGGGAGTTCTACCAAACATTTAGAGAAGAATTAACACTAATACTGTTTAAACTCTTCCAAAAGATAAGGAAGAACTACTACCTAATTCATTCAATGAAGCAAACATAGCCCTGACCTAAACCAGATAAAGACATCATAAGAAAAGAAAACTACAGACCAATATTTCTTATGAATATAGATGCAAAAATCCTCAACGAAATACAAGTGAACAGAATCCACCAGCATTTTAAAAGAGTCATACACCATGACCAAGTGGGATTTAGTCCAGGACTATAGGGAAGGTTCAACATTAGAAAATCTATCAACATAATACACCACATCAGTAGAACAAAGGAAAAGAACCACATGTCATCTCTGTGGATGCAGAAAAAGCATTTGATAAAATCCAACACCTTTCTTGATGAAAATCCTAAAGAAGATTGGAATAGAAGGGAACTTCCTCAGTATGATTCAGGACATATATGAAAAGCCAGCAGTCAATAGAGAATGACTGATTTCTTCTACAGAAGAATCCTGATCAGAAGGGGGAAAATGCAGAACAGGATTTTAAATTCTCATAGAGTCTAGACTTTCTGGAGCCATAGAAGCTGGATGAACCCCCAAAACTATTGCCCTGAGATAATCTTTAAACTTTAAACCAAAAATATCCCCTGAAGTCTTCTTAAAACTATTGCTTAACTAGTTTAAAAAAAAAAAAAGTCTGCTTTAAGCATTATGCTCTTTTAAGAACTATCTATATGGGATCAAGTGACAATAGCAACTTGAAAGATTAGACGGGAACCTTCGGGGGTAGTGAGTTCATGTTAATGGAGGAGGAAAGACTCTGAAAAGGAGGGTGAGAATGGTTGCACAACTTAAAGAAGGTAATCATTGTCACTAAATGGTACATGTAGAAATTGTTGAATTGGTGTGATTTGCTGTGTATATTCTCAACACAACAACAAAATAATATTAACAAAATAATAGACAAATGTTAGTAATTTGCTTGTTTAGGGCAGATCTCTTCTTTCTGTAGTTTTGAACCTAAGTAGTAAACAACACCCAGCATGGAGGTCAGGTGCAGCATACTGTGACTGATTTTAACAACTGGAATTCTTCCTAACGGATATAGACATCAGCCTTTTCCTATGCATACGTTTTCAATTGCTTATCATTGTTTTTCTTATTTGTGCACAGAGATTACCATAACAGTAACAGGAACAACAAAAACAACAAAAGCCAATGGAGTAAAAATCATTTAACTGCTTTCTCTCTTGAGACTGTACTTCTTATCTTTTGTAACATTAATGTTAATAAAGAGCTGTAGTGTACAGACTACTACCTAAGTGAGACTGCTTAAGGCTCAATATAACCAGCTAAATTAAAATGGGGTGTTAGGTATATGGAGAAACATGACTTGAACATCATAGGAATTCATTATATTAGGACTGATAGTGCTTAGTGAGAAATGGGTGATGTTAAATGCTATTTTTGTATTCATATATGTATGAATATTCATACATGACATGTATATTCATATATGCATGTATATTCTACTTATCCCAGGAATGTGGTATAGATAATCCAAAAGAATAATCCCAAATCATTTATATGACATTGGAATTTGTTTTAGACTCACATTTAAATGTAGTCCTATTAGACATAAGTGGGAGGTCTCATTTAAAAAAATGAAG